ATTTTTAATACGACTGACTTTATATTTAATGTGAATTTAACATTGAAAGTTAATGTGAATAAAAACATTGTAAGTGAGGCTACTTATCATAACACTTTCATTGTACAGAAAGAGAGCAAAGAAAATTTACCTTATCAAAGAACATTTTCACTGACAGTCTAGAGTTTAAGCACTCTCAAAAACTCCCATTAAAATCACTGAAGCGGTTTACACTGTGAAATGAATACCTTACAGATTCATACACACATCTGCAGTTTGTTGGTATTCAGACAGCGAGCGAGTGAACAAAACACAGCCATTTTAGCAATGACTCATCTGAACGCCTCTGATTGGCCATTGCACTCATAAGCTCAACAGTATCGTGTGTGATTGGTTATAATGCACAGTGCTGTAAAAAACGCGTCTGTATCTGGCTCAGCGCCAGCCAGCGAACGCAGATTTGAATTTTAGCAGCTGATGATATGACGCGCTGAACGATTTAATCATGCTGATGTGATGGTATCAAACATAGAAAATATTATTCGGCTATTTTTAGTCTTTTGGAAGCTGCATTCAAAATCCACTTGGCTCAAAAATCTGAGGGGGCAAGTGCACTTGCACTTTGAATGGGCATGACGCCTCTGTTACTGTGTACTGTGCCTGACAACCGCTGCCATAAATATTCACAATATGGAACAACTTCTAGTGCCTTATTGCCTAATTAAGGCACTTAATAGTTTAGCTCCTGCGTACCTAACTAGTCTTCTACCACGCTACAATCCATCACGCTCCCTAAGGTCGCAAAACTCTGGACTTTTGGTAGTACCTAGGATAGCAAAGTCCACTAAAGGAGGTAGAGCTTTTTCGCATTTGGCTCCCAAACTCTGGAATAGGGCTACTATAATTCAAAATCTTTTTGGAAACTTAAAAGTTTCTTACAAAATTATGTGATTTGATCAAATACATAATGAAATATAATCGTATATGGGTAACGGAGAAATGACAATTAGCTTCAAGCTACACATGACAATTAATTAGATTAATACAACACTTCTACTTGAATGTCACGATAGAATTTTATGTGGAAGATACACCGTTACAACTTCTGTGGGGCGTGAAGAAAAAGTAATGTAACTAATTACTGTTGCCAGAAAGTAATAAGTAAAGTAACAATATTACTTTTGAAATGAGTAACTAGTAACATTACATTCTTTGAGTAACTACTAGCCCAACACTGGGGAAGTTCAAGAAGAAAACAAAAGAAAAGAAGAAAAAAAAATAAGAGGAAAAAAAAAAGAGAAAAGAATTAAGACATTGATTTGCTCTTTTGATTGAATGCTTGGGCGGCTCTTAAAAGAGCCTTTTTCTTGAAAATCCGGTCCGGGTGAAATTTAACCGCCAAAACCATACAGTGTACGGCCTTGACGCTTCAGAGCGTACACTACGTCCATAGCAGTCACAGTCTTGCGCTTGGCATGCTCGGTGTAGGTTACAGCGTCGCGAATAACATTTTCAAGAAACACTTTCAGTACACCTCGCGTCTCTTCATAGATCAGACCAGAAATACGCTTCACACCACCACGACGCGCTAGACGGCGAATAGCTGGCTTTGTGATTCCTTGAATGTTGTCTCTCAAAACTTTGCGGTGACGTTTTGCACCACCTTTTCCGAGCCCCTTACCGCCTTTTCCTCGGCCAGACATGATAGTAGGCTGAAATCTCAAGGAACTCGAATGAAACCGAAATGGATGGGCTTCTTTGGGAGGACTGACAAGTATATCTTTAAAGAGGACCTAGTGGAAACCATGCTTGGCTACAACCCCTCTGCGGGCGAGGCAGACGCAACAATGCAAAACAAGTAGGGAAGTAGGTCTATTGAGCGCCGGTTTTCTTTTATTTGATTACATATCTTGTAATCGAATAAAACATATAACAAATAAACACGTATCAAGTGCGCTATGCTTCTGTTGTGGTATTCGCGATATTTCAGTAATTAGGATTGACCTGCTTTACTCTTATTGTCGTAGTATGGTTGTTTGTCACTTCACAGTTTTTCTGAATGCTTCAATTACATTCCTTTTAGGACGGATTTACATTATATTAAGTTTTAGTGCGTAAATTTCAAACAATCAAAGAATAACTGATTCGAGTTCAGCGAAGATATGCAAATTGTATACACCTCTTCCGAGTGTTTTGATTGGTCCTAGACAGTCTCGATTTCTATTTGTTATTTGCCGATGATGACGCGTGGTGATTTGTCCCTGGTTTGAACGCCCTTCCCAGCCGGTTTGAACCGGTTTAACGAACAAAGAGGCAGGCAATACCTGCTTCATCTGATTTCACTTCACAGAGGCAAACAGCGTGTTTAATGAAATAATTTCAATCAATTATTACAGAAGTCTTCTCAAATAATAAATAAGCACAAACCACTGACGATCAAGCAGTGATTTTACATTTATGATAGTTTGCCTTATGCTCTACAACAGCAGCAGCAGCAGCAGTACAATCAAATCAAATGTAACACATAATAAAGAGAAGATTTGCAGTAAACTGCAGAGCTCTGTATAATTAGAAATAGGAAGACTAATGGTTGTAATATCAGGGAACTTTGATTCCATTGAAGAGTGCAGATCAGTCAGAATGCAGATAAATATTTAGCTTTCAGACATTTCAGCTTTGGGATTTCAGCTTCCATCATACCCCAGTGGCTGAAAACGAGAGAAAAGGAACAATATTAAACCAATCCTGTCAAAAAATAAAACACTCTTTGCATACTTTCTTGACTACGGATTTATGAATATAGAGAGGTTTGTACTAAGACAAAATAATTAGTATTACTTTTGTCACAATATTAAGCACACCAAACTCAAAGAACAAAGACTTCATAAAATCCTTTGTCTTTTACCTGGTAAACTCCCACTTCATAGCCTGGCTCAGGACGCTGCCATATCTGACTGGATAAGATTTTCAAAACAACCAATCCAAATGCTACAATGATAACTCCCAATGAATTTGCAGTTATTGCCTCTGGTGGTAATGCGGAATAAGGCAGAGTCCCATTGGTGTTTCCTTTTCTGAGGAAAGAACCAATAGTACAACACATTTGCCATGACAATACACTAAATCTATTGTGAGTTCTACATTTATGAGTGCATGTTTTTTTTACCCACTTCTTTATACCTCAAATCTTAAAACATATTGATTAGAGCTTAATGATCAGATCTAGTCAAACAGCACTGAACGCTCCATGAAGATCTCTCTAACATTAATAGCCACATGTGACCCTGGACCACAAAACCAGTCTTAAGTCGCTGGGGTATATTTGTAGCAATAGCCAAAAATACATTGTATGTGTCAAAATTATTTATTTTTCTTTAATGCCAAAAATCATTAGGATATTAAGTAAAGATCATATTCCATGAAGATATTTTGTAAATTTCCTACTGTAAATATATTAAAACTTAATTTTTGATTAGTAATATGCATTGCTAAGAACTTCATTTGGACAACTTTAAAGGTGATTTTCTCAATATTTTGATTTTTTTTTTGCACCCTCAGATTCCAGATTTTCAAATAGTTGTATCTCGGCCAAATATTGTCCTATCCTAACAAACCATACATCAATGGAAAGCTTATTTTTATATTTTGAAAAATTGACACTTAAGACTGGTTTTGTGGTCCAGGGTCACATATATAATTAAGTTAAATATAAGTTCTTCAAGTCTTCACTGCAAAAGCTAATGCATAGCACTCAGTTTATGTAGTGTGATCACTTACAGTGCAAAAAAGAGTTTTTCATTGATCCCTGAGATGCAGGACACAATGCTCAGTACCAAGATGATTCCTCCCATCCAAACATGAGTTGGCTTCATAAAAGCACGTGCTGACATTGGAGTGCAGGGTAAGAGGAATGCGGTAAAACCCATAACCCACTAGAAAAAGCATCAGAAAAACTGAGAATTTCTTTAATTCTTACATCACTGATAATTTCAAACATTTTGGATACAGACAATGTAGTTTAGCATATTCATATGTAGATGGTTCATTGTTTAGCCACTATTAAACTTCTTATTTACAGAAACAACTGAAGATGTACCACTACACTGTACATGAACACTTTTCAACATGATACTCACCTGTGCAGTAAAAAGCGCAGTGGTACAAATCCCCACCCAGCTATGGAGGGAATAAAGGTTGGATATGTGGTTTGCGTTGTGGTAGTCAAACACCGCACAAAGCCCGATAACAGACAGAATGAAAGAAAAGAGTAGAAGTCCAGCATGTAACAGCTTCCACGGGAGCTTATTGTGACCCCACGTCAGAGGAATACGGTACACTATGGCCGCTGGTTAATTGAGGAAAAAAAGACACTGATGTCAGAAAGTCTGCTCAACTGATAAAACTGACAAATGTTACAAGTCAACATAATGTAATATTTAGCCAAATATTATAATATTTCAATGTAACATGCCAAACTTAAATCTAACAATAAAACAACCACACACTTTTTACAACACATTAACTGTGCAATGTTGTGTTATCATATTATAGCTACAGTAGCATGAAACACAAGCCGAAACAATACCCAACCAAACATACCATTCCCATAAAGCACCACCATACCAGTGACCATGAAGACCGGGTGCCAGTTGAAGTGCTTGGCTGAGCTGTCCCATGCAAATCCACCTCGATAGCTGTAATTCCAGTGAACTACTAATGCCACACAGATGATCCCCAATATCAGGCACAGCATATAGGTTAGATAAAATGCAACAATTCCTCTCATCCTGTGAGTGCTGCAGAGACAGACAATGCACATGAATATTCTTTAAGCTATTTATCTTGAGAAATTAACTTTACCTGACACATGTATTAAATGTACACTGAATTATAGATGTGTTTACAAAGACATAAGCAACATTAATAACCATTTTCTAATATTTTAACTTACCTTTAAAATATCTCAAAATCAAACAGTCTAGTGATTTTCAGGTTTAATTTTAAACAAAGAGCAACCAAGGTGTATAAGGCCGTTTTTATAAGAGTAGCACATCTGAATGTACAGTACCTTTATCTGATGTCTTACAAATTTCAAACAGCCTCGTGACAGCGTTTTTTGTTGATCTCAGTTCCTCTTTCCATGATTCCCCATTATGATTTTCGATTTCGTCTACACACAGACCAGATGGCAAACAAACAATAACAGAAATGAGGAACAGCAAAAACGGACAAACTAGCAGTGATAAGGATGAATTGGACATTATGTCACTCAAGACTACAAATACCGTACAAATAGAGAACTTTATAACAGAGAACTGTTCAAATTACTTCCATGAGGCAAGGAAACAATGTAACAAAAAATTGTTCTAAAAATAAGACCTGTCCAATTAATGCATAGGCTTAGGGAGTGCTTTATTATTTCTAAAATTTTGTATGTTTACATTATTATTGTAGTTTGAATCTTAAAGGGTTTTTCTTTCTGTGACGTAATGCCAGTATGAGGACACTCGAAAACAGACGAAGTACCCGCGCAAACGGTTTTCAATATTGCCTGTTAAAATAACAATATTAACTGTTAACATAAGATAAGCTGATTTTACTAGATGTCAGGCAAGAGAAAAAACGTACACAAACTTTAACGACCAAGCTTACGATGTTTTTGGGAAACGTAGCCCTGTCTGGCGACATTACAATTTCCTGTTTAACCGCGAGGCTGCATGGGAAGTGTAGTGAACAGAACCTAATTTACGAATGAAAGATTGTGTAAATATTATTTGTTAGATTACATTTCGATTACTTTTCGGCAAAACACCCAGATAAATTACTACAGAAGTATAAATAAATAAATTTGAAATCCTTATTTTCCAGATCAGGTGACCTCTGGTGGCGAGCAAGCTGAAATGCAGTTTTTACATATATATGAAACATCTTTCAAGTAACAGAGAAGTATGCGAGTTCTATATTCAGAACCTTAAGATTATTTAAAACGTTGTCACAATCATTAAGGGAAAAACGAATATACACATGAACTGCTTTTATTAGTTCACAAAATAATCACATGTAAACATCTAATTCAAGATCATAACACAAATCACAATTTTGTATACAAAATGGGAAATAATGCAATCAAAACATATATAGTAACACCACACATTTCATAATAATAAAAGTCTTAAATATCTTTTTTTTTTCAAATGTAACTAATGCTTGTAAACAGTGGCATAACATCTTAAGGTAAGCCATGCACACACAAAAAAATCAAAAGCATAACTTTGCTCTCTGAGGAGAATATGTGGTGACAATATTTGCATGTTTCCAGTCACTCATCTTCATATTTAAAGTAACCATTACTAATTGCCTTTGCAATGATATTTTCTGCTGACAGCCTTTGGTCTAAATAGATTAATGCTTCAATAAGACTGTTGAAATCTGCCTTCAGTCCCTCCTTTTCCATCCAGATTTTTAACAGTTCGTAAATTCTGTCTTCTGGAAAAAGAGACTCTGCACTTTTGATTGAATTATCACTCAGTCCAATGAACCTGAAGAATCTGTTATGATAGTGGACATCCATTTCTTCAAAGAAATCAAAGGTTTTCTTCAACGATTCTTCTCCTGAAAAGGTGATACAGAGTGAAAACACTGCAGCATAACTCATTATTTTTAGGAATGATAATTTAAGGAATAGTTCACCCAAAAATGTTAGGTCTGTCAACTGGGTGGGCCTACATAAAACAGGGTGGGCAAAGTGTAGCATATGTAAACTGCATGTCAAACTGCCAACAGAAAATACAGCACAAATGCAATACACAATACTTATAAATCATTGATTAACATTAATATTAATTTAAAAATGTACTAATAAATTATTAAAATTAGAAGTTGTATCTGTTAGATAGTTCCGATCCGATAGTTCACCCAGAAATGAAAATGTGATGTTTATCTGCTTACCCCGAATAAACACTGCAACAAATGTATTGCTCATTGTTAATGTTAGTCATATGATGCGATTTCAAGTTTTCCTTTCTCTTTGGAGTGTTACAAGCTGATTGTTATTATATATATATAATATGTATATATATATATATATAGCCTAATATTATAAAAAAAATGCATGTTTTCTTTTTTTCAATAACGTTTTAATAATAGTAACTTTATTAGGACCATGGAAACTAAAATACACAAATATTCAACTAACCGTCAAAAATTGTGCAGGGCTTTTACTGTGATGTTGATTTACAAAGGGTTTACGGTGTTGAAAATATCAAGCATGTCCCGCTCTTTACGGTCTCATTCATTCACGTTCCTTTATTAATAACGCTAACAGTCTCACACGCTGAAAGCTGCGCGGAAAAAAGCGGAAGTAACCGGCGAAATGTTTCATACTGGCTCTTGGCACAGGAGAACACCATCTTCTATAAAAAGTACATGTTTCAGTCCTGTCATTTTTACATACTTTTACACTTTTTCTGCTGTTCAAAAAATCTTTATTTTCGCTATAACCACAAACAAGCTAACGTTAGAATCTGAGTGCAGGAGCTCTAAGTTACCATAAGGGCCTTTCGCACCGCTTTAGTTCCAGATCTAAATGTACAGTACTAAAGTACTTGGACGATTTTGCGCGAACTATTTCCCAGTACCATTTAAAGGGTTTCATTCGCACCGACAGTGTGTACTAGGAAGTGACGTAAGCCGGTCGACAGCGACGTCATTTGTGCGCGGCGTTCAACAACGGAAACAAAGAAGAACAACGTTAACAACAGGAGGATGGTGGACGTTTTGTTCCTTTCGAATTCCAACTGGATTTCCTCCGTTGCGTAAATGTTCAAAAGTGCCTGTACTTCATCGTCCGTCCATCTATCGCTGTTCTCCATACATGCTAAATAAGTTGACACAATGTTTACAGTATGTTTACACAGCGTTTTAAATCATGGCGGGGGAGGGCGGTTTTCTTCTATCCCCTGTCCCAGAGAATAAAAATAGT